AAGGTATCAATAGCACGATAAAAGCGACCTGTATTTAAAAAGAGCTCGTTTTTAAAAATATTACTATACAAGGGACATTCAAAGAGAATATGGGGTAAAGTTTCGGATCGTAGAAATTTCAGATTGAGCATATCTCCATAGGAATTATTTTGTAAAGTGTTGAGTATAAAATCGTATATTATACTTAGACCTCATGGCAATGAGTTTGTTTTCCATTGAAACTTCCTGAAATCATTGTTTTATCTGTGCAGCGCAGTTGCACTTGGTTGCCATCATTATTTACTGGTACTGGCGATTAAAACAAATCTTGGGTAAACGGCTCGTCAGCGTGCTAAGAGGTTTTACTAAGAAAGAAAGAAGGTTTCGATCCCTAAGTATGTGCGTATGCTGTACTTTGCAGCTCAGCCAGGAGCCTTTTGTAAGGGTAAATTTCCCAGGATTCCTCTGTTAGATTGCATTTCACTAATTATTAAAACTGCTAAATATTGCAAAGCTCCCGAACATGGCCGTTGAAGACTTATTGCAACTGCTTGATTTACTTTTAAATTAGAGGTTCTTTCAGTTCAACAATAGATTCTTCAAAAGGGGGAATAGGCGGTGGGCTCATGTTTGTCTTTTTTCCGAGTGCGGGTTTCATGGATAATATAAATCTTCTGCCCCAAACAGTATTATTCTATATTACTTAAATACTCTCGTAAGTCAGAAATTCGTCACCTTTCACTCTTTTCTCATACGGTTTTTGATATCCCTCAATTTAGAGAAGATTTCATTAAATAATTGTTGGCCATCACATCTATTGCTGTTAAAAATGTACTCCCATTATGGATTAATGTATTCCATGAGGAAAACCTACAGGCTAATCTCCTATTTTATTATTTTTATTATTATTATTATTATTATTACTAAGAATAAAGTGCAGAGGAAAACCTATTATGCACATTGATCGTTAGTAACACAACACATATAATAAACATTTAGTTATTGCTGTGAAATAATACACTGTCCAAGCGACGTTTAAATGCAGACAAGTTCGGCGCACACACAACATCTGGGGGTAAACTGTTCCAATAATTGAAAGTCCCGTTACTTATAAAATGCAGGCGATCTGAAGTCCTGAATTGTTCCTTCCTCATTTTAAATCGATAACCACGTAGGCGTTCATCATTGCTTAAGACCACAAGTGGCACGTCAGATCGAAATTGGGCATGCGCAAATCTATACATTTGAATCAGATCCCCTCGCAGTCGACGCTGACTTAATGTTGGCAGACTAAGTATTTTGAGACGGTCATTGTAAGGTGTATGTCTAAGCTGAAGTGGCCAGCGCGTAGAGGCTAGTTGCACTTTTTCCAGAACATCACAGTCACGCAATAGCCACGGGTTCCAGACTGGGGAAGAAAATTCCAGGATGGGGCGAATGTAAGTGGTGAAAAGCCTGCAAGCGATGCGAGGACTAGGATTTTTAAAAGTCTTTTTTAACAAAAATAACGCGCAGTTTGCTTTCTTTGCAGTATTTGATACATGTGCAGACCACGCAAGATCGTTAGTTACTGTCACACCTAGGTCCATCTGAGAATCGACACTTGACACAAAGTTTCCATCGATATAATAATTCAAACCGGGATTGTTCTTGCCAACATGCATCACAGAGCACTTTTGAGCATTCAGCGGCAATAGCCAAGTTGAACACCACTTGGAAATAGTATTCAAGTCTCTCTGCAATACGTCCGCATGTGTTGAAGGATTTCCAAATAATTTAGTGTCATCAGCATAAGCGCTCACATGAGAATCAATGCTGGAGAGCAAATCCACGGTGTACACTAAGAATAGCACTGGTCCCAGCACCGATCCCTGGGCAACACCACTAGGCACGATTTGTGGCAGTGAGAAAGCGTTACCAATTCGAACTCTGAATGACCGGTGGCTTAAGAACGCCGCTATCCACTCTAGCAGTCTACTCGCCACTCCAACCTTTTTGGTTTGAATAACAAGCGTCGATGTGGCACTTTGTCGAAGGCTTTGCTGAAGTCGAGGTAAATAATATCCACCGGATCACCTGAGTCAAGAGATGATGTCCAGTGATTCAAGCATGTCAATGTATTTGATATGACACATCTGCCGGGAACAAAGCCATGCTGCGATGTAGGTATAATATGGCAGTCGATCAAAAACGGTAGCAGCTGTTTTACTATAAGGCGTTCAAGAACCTTACATATAATACACACTAGGCTGATAAGGCGGTAATTTGAAACATCGAGCTTATCACTCTTTTTATAAATCGGTGTTACATTTGCGGATAACCAGTAGGTTGGGAGTGTGGCAGAGTCCAAAGATTTTCTCAAAATAATATAAATAGGCTCTGCAAGCACAGGGGCACACGCTTTTAAGATTTTACTGAAAATTCCATCAGGTCCGGGAGCAGAATATTCTTTTAACTCAGAAAGAGTTTTCTTCAGGTCCTCTTATGGGACCCTCATAGTGAGACGGTAGATTAGCTGGTTCATCAGCAAAGACACTAGCAAAATATGAAGCAAATTCATTTGAAATGAAGTCCTGGTTATAGGAGACCTCTCCCAAGGTATCTCTAATGACAGGAAGGGATACCTTAGACGATACGTGTTGTCTGACATAAGAATAAAACGCTTTGGGACGATTGAGGAGGTCATTTTCGAATACTGACTTCGCCTCTCTAATCTCCAAGGATAAACTATTAGAAACTCTTCTGTGCAAAGCATAATCGGAAGCAGAGCCAGAGGCCTTAAATCTACGCCACAGAGCTCTCTTATGTTTTATTTGTTGGAACAGATGTCCAGTTAACCAAGGTTTCTCAGAATTGAACTTAACAAAATGAGTTTTGGAGCTTGTGCCTATGTAATAATCCAGAGTAGACAGAAAATATGTCCACGCATCATTAACGTCGTTATCAGGAAAGTTCCATGTATGGTGGGAAAGGTCTGCAGCTAATCTTGCATAATTTGTCCTGCATAACACTTTGCGATTATTGACCTGCTTGGGATAACATAAGGCTTGAATACAAAACTCAATAACGACATGATCAGATTTTCCAATTGGGGAATCAAGCTCCAATTTGTCAAGTAAATTGGGATCCGGAGTAATTACAAGATCAAGAGTTGACGGAGCGTCGTTCTGTCGGAAGCGCGTGTGTTCTTCAACAAGTTGACTAAGATTACAACCTGACAATAAATCTAGGAACATGTACTCCATGGAAGTGGGGACAAAGTCGTTTAAAGTAACAGGCAAGGATATTCTTGGGAAATTAAAGTCGCCAGCAATAACAGGGTTGACGGAATTTGTGACAAAATTGTTCATGGATTGTAAGAGCTGAAGATTAGAATCATTATCAGTATCGCTCGGCCTGTATACACAGGCGAGTGAAAAACTAAAATCAGAAATGGTAAATGACAGACAAACAGCGTCCACCATCTGACCCATCATTAAATCTAAGAGCTTGATCCAGTAAGTACCGGCAATATGATCAGCAACGTAAACACAAGCGCCGCCACCCCGCCTGCTAGGTCGATCGGGAATGGAAGGCTTTAACCACGTTTCGGTTATTAGAATACAGGCAGGTTTAACGGAACTCACATAAGCAACAAGATAATCAAATTTTTCAGGCAATGAGCAAATATTGATATAAACAATAGGCAAGGAAACGACGCTTACTTTTTTGGAGCCGAAATGTTGACGATTGAAGGCACACCTTTAATATATTTGATTGTTAACTGCTTTTCACCTCTCTCGTGTCTGTCCTTCAGTCCTTCCTTTTCTGCTCCAAAAATATTGGGAAATATATCCGCACAGATAGGAAAAATCTTTCCACTTGAAGTAACTAACACTTTGGATGGTGATCTTGTTAATACCAAGGACGGGTTCTTCCCTTTGGGCTATTCCGGTGTATACGAGTTAAAGCGTCCAGAATGTCCAACTGCTAATGTTGGTCAGACTGGCAGAAAAAACACGCTTGTGACAGAAGCTGTAGAAATGAGTAGAGAGCTGAGAAGTCAAGTCTCTTTTTAACAATTTAACAGAATTGTGTTGCACGCCCCAAACTAAATGAGATAATTTTCTTGTCGCTTCGCTCTGATCATCGAAGCTTTGATAATTGTGACGTATTTAAATACATGTCCCTGAATTCTATTTATCTGTAAGAGATTTTGTAAATTTTCCCTATTTTTATACATATCTCTGGTAACAAATCGCTAATCTGTACGATACTTGTTGTTCATTTGTGTGGTTTGTTTTTAATTCGTATTTTCTGTATGGATAACAAGATCGGAGGTCTATATTTGTTCAGAATCCATTGTTTCTATTTTCAAAAGTCAGGTTAGAGACCTTTTGGGATCGCTAATTTAAATTTGCGCGTTCGCCCAGTTTCTCAAACCCGCGTAACCCATGTGACGGCTTGTGCGCAACCGCACAGGAAAAGGAGGAAGTTTTTCGACATTTGAGATTCGAAAAGACACTTCCGCATGGTCCGGCGCCAGCGCGAGTGCAATAAACGGGGCCCCGTCCGGAACCGACGACACGATAGCTTGCGGTAAGTCTTCACAGTGGGTCGTTGCCTATCGTGTTCGCTTTTTTTGCCATTTCGCGTCCCAAAAGGGTTAAGCCAACCGTGAACCGTTCGACCCTATTGGAACCCTTAACAATATTTGACCATTTTTTAGGCCAAACATGTCACCGCTTTTTCAAATTAAATTTATGTTTTGACAAATGATACTGTATATTTCGTGTTTCTGATATGACCTATATTTAACCTCAGTAACTCAAGAAACAACTTCCAAAATCATTCTTAGCGAGGGAAAACAGAACATTGCATTTATTTGTTTACAATAAAATTTTGTTTTAGAAACCAAATTGTTTAAAACTGACGAAGATGTGTTCGCCGACTTCGTTCGTTAGAGAAATTCTAGGAAAAACTACTAGGCTAATCTAGATGGTACATGACATGGTCTGTTTTGCTGAGTGAGTTTGACTTACCTGTCACTAATGAAAGAAGTAAGAAAACGGCAGCTGTCAGTAGGAGGTAGTGAGTGAGGTAACCCGCGAATGTCAGTGGACGAGACTTGGCCCGAGGGTCTGTACGCATGCCCATTCCGGCGGTCCCATAGTCCCAGCTAACGCGCCTTCATTGCCTGTTTAGCTGAAGCAAAAAAACATAGATTTACTAAGTTTTCTATAACATAGCTTTCAATTCCCTGCTCTAAAATAAGCATTTATGCCTGTCACTCCGTTTTCGGGAATTTAGTCACGGGTTTAGAGTCGATCAGATGTTTTCCATAGATTCTAGCCATGTTATTTTGAATTATTTCTATTCTGACACTTACGACCAACGTTACTTAGTAAATGTATTCCAAAATCTATAATGGTTGAAGAAAATGTATAGTATCCATGAAGAAATTTAAATTATTAAAAGTTATTTTTGGCCTGAGCCTCAGATAGACTAACAAAATTTGTTTACTCGGCATTCCGCTTCAGACTGCTACCACAAAGGAAACGAATATCGTATTTTGTTGTTTTTGAGTTCCACTCCAAGTAAAAGTTGCAGAAGTTTAGATTAAATCCGGTCTGGTCAGAAACCTTTATTTATAAATAGCTTTCGAGCAAATTACACGAATTCGAGACTTTTTTTTAATAAGTTGCTACTTTTAAGAGGGATACCAATTAAGTTACAAATTAAATTTACAAGATTATTTGAGGTGGAGAATGGTAGGACGTTGATTATAATATTGGGAACTACTCGGAAAAATTCAATTGTTTTTTCATCGCATACCATGTATGTATTAAAAAGGATATAGGACATGACTTTTAAATTGAGCTCTTGATTACACAGGACATCAGGCATTATATGAAATATTTCTCTGCTCTGATTTTGAGCCATGATATTACGATAAAAGTGAACGACTTGTTTCAATTCAGGTAACTTTAGCTAAAAAAAGACGGTAATTCCCTTAAAAATTGTGACAAAATTATAAGTTAATGCCTCAACGTCATATAAGGTCAAAGAAAATGAGGGTATTTGTCCCATTTTCTATTTTTGTATTGAATCAAAAGCTTCATGCATTTCGCCCACTTTGAATGCTTAACATAATGTAAAATTTCGTCGGAACAAGGAATCCTTTTTATCAGTTATCACTAGTATAAAAAAGTATTTAAAAATTGTTCCATAAAATCGAAACACAAACATTTTAAAAATATTTTCCATTATATGTGATGCAAGATAGAAGGAAGGCTCCGACCTATCTTGGAGCCGATTCGAAGATCGACAACCTCCAAGGCACCATTGCCTCTATAGCTTAGCAATAGTAAAGCGTTGGAGTGATTTATTCGAAAAATGGGTATAAAAAAAATCAAGCATCCCTTCTAACAAAAAAAATTACTTGCTTCCTTAACTTTTCAACGTATGAGTGAGTCTACAATACCACAGTACCGATGCAAACCGTTTAGGAAAATAAAATGCAAACAAACGCGTCTAAATGCAGCTTCTGCACCATTAATCTAGATTATCTGAATAAGAAACTTATCTTTATGTGTATATACTCGAACGCTGGGCAATTAGACTTTCGAGGATTATGCGGCGCTCCTTTTATATACCGAATTTGATGCGGTGATGTAGTTCCGGCAAATGTTTAACGTTATAGATAATGTCCGGGTTATTTTTAAGCACTCATTTCCATTTCCTTTGGGATGAAAAACGTTTCCTTTCCAACTGTTTTTTCCTAAGCAGTTATTCTGATTTCATATTTTTATTTTTTTAGCATAGTCGAAGATTATAGACGTTTTACCTTTTTAAGTTTTTACTGTATGTTCATAACCTGATTGAACAAACTCAGACGTGTTTGACAGTTTTTTAAAATTTTATGCAGAAGAATTTACATCATGCGGTATAATTTTATAATATTATAATAATATTATAATATTATTTTGTAACACACAATATATAAAAGCTAATCATTAGGAAGAAGTATGGAAAAATAAAATATTACGGAATTATTGCTATTACAAAAACACAGTCTCTTTCTTTCTTTCTAGAGGCTTGAACGGAATCATAGTTCTTAACCCAATTTAAGGGAAAACAATAATATAAAAAATATATATTTGTAATTTTGTTTTATTTGTAAATTTTAATTGTATTTTTTAAAACAATGCATAATGAGATAAAAAAAATATAAGATATAAAAAATTAAGTGCGCTGCTGTCACTTTTTTCAGTTAATAATTTAATAACAATATATATTATAAATTCATTTAATCATTCAATCATGTTGGTAAAAAACAGCCAACTAAATTATTTTTCTGATTTTTTTTCCGAAATACAAGACTTTGCAAAAAGAGACAAAAAGACATTTCCAATTAGCCCGCCTAACATTTTTTTTTTCATGTTATGGCCTAAGTTTTTCTTTAAACTTGGTTAAGAAGAATGATAAGGGTAGTCTAATTCAAACCCATTCATTTGAAAAAAATAAAAAATATGCAGAAAGCTTGTTTTTAGAATAGTAACACTCCCATAATATTTTGTTATTCTATTTTCGTTCTGAAGATAAAAAATTAAAACATTATTTTTATCTCCCTATTACTATATAACTTTTATATAAAAAATTTTTCGCCTTTGGTTTAAAACATACTTTAATTTGATAAAGGATCTTATTGTTGTGTATTAGCACTCATTTCCGTGTCAAAAACAATTTAAAAAATATCTTTTAAATAATCCTGACACTCTTTTAAAAAGAAAATCTAGGTTGCCATAAAACAAAAGACCCAAAGACCAGTAAATTTGAACTTCGGTCAATGAACTTAACGTTGAAGAAAGATTCGTTTTCAGTTCCTTTTAAACTTTCCAGTAATCCATTTTCAAAATTTCAAAATTTGATTTCACAAGTTGAACCAAACGAAAGCTTTAAGCTTAAAAAGCATTATGCGAATAATTTTCATTTTCCGACACGATATAAAAATTGTACCCAACGTTTTATATTTTGATCTTTGAGCTTTCAGAAACTTCTCCCACTCTTATTAACTGCTGTACAGCTACGAGCCTCATAAATTGCATTAATGTGAAAATTTGGGAAAACTCTTGAATTGGGGTGCAATGCTTATATCCATTTTAATAACAAATGTTTTTCCTGAAGTTTTACCGGTTTCCATGGTTCTGAATGATTTTTTAAAAATATTTATAATATATTATTATTATTATTGTTATTATGCATGTTAATATTAAATATTTCTTAATGACCTTATTCTGTAAACGGGAAAATAAATATCGGAATAGTCATGAGAAGTTTTCCTATTCAACAATCCCAATAATTCCCAATTAAAATCCAAGTTCATCTTCCCTAATATCGGTAAACTGAGACAAGCCTGGAATAGAATGTTTGTTCAACAGATCAGAACGCTTTTATTTTATCTGAGCAATTCCGACACAACGGGAGTAAACAAAGAGGAAAGAGCACCGAATAAATTCGTCTATTGGAATTGAGAGAAACGAATTTCTGGTTTTTACCCCCTCTTTGCTGCGAGTGATAGTCGGATCGTATTTTTTGTAAAATAAATATTGTATTGTTTCTTATTTTAAAATTATTGTACAGAGGGTTTCAAAAGCAAATTTTCTAGGGCAAACAGAACATTAAAAAATAACACTAATTAGATTAATTAATAGATAGAGATACCTTTATTTCGGTCATAAAAGTAACTGCTAAAAGAAAATTAATATTTTGTGCAGAAGCGTCGCTAAAAGAGGGTGTCGCTTTTTTGTCTCCCAGCATTATAGGACATCTGTAAATCTTTTTGCTCTTGTTTAAAGAGAAAAAAACTAGTTTTGGACTTATCTGAAGTTTTAGAAAGTAATACTGACCGAAATAAAAGTTATTTTAATAATGAACTCTCATAATTATTGTTTGAGAAATAACCAGAAGGAAAAATATTGAAAACTTGTAGTATGTATTTCAGTTTCTGAAATCGTTTCAGATAAAATAATAAACGATTTTTTAGGTCCCCTTTTACAGATGAGGCATTTTTGGACAAGTGTTTATTAGAAAATCAATCGAATCAAAGAAAAAATGTAGTAAGAGTTGTTATCTATTTCTCAGTTTTAATTATAGTCTTTAAATAAATATGGGCGAAATAAAACGATAAGCCTAAATGTTCGTTGTTCCTTATTTATAAGTATTTGAAAAATTGCCTTAATGGGTGTGCACTAAATCGCAAGATAAACATTTAAAAGATAATTTACAATATAAACGGCGTTTTATAAGTGGCAATAAACAATATCTGTCTTAAATGGAATATTTTTGGATATTACGATTCCTACAAGAAATGTTTGCGATTGTTTTTTAAAATTTTAATGCGATACTTTTTTAAAAATATATTGTATAATACATAAAATATTATGGTATAATATGTTTGTCGAATATCTGATTTTTTAAACTATATTTTTCCAGTTCCAACAATTCAAAATTTCATCTTGTAGACAGTTTTGGACAGTTTTTAATACATTTTAAATAAATTATTGGTTATTAGTCGCTTAAAACCCCCTTGCAGAAGGTTACATATAGTTTGTATAATAGTTAATAATCTTATGGTGCCATTTCCACACAATAAGCATCTTATGTAAAACCTTAAACTTAAATAATTTAATTGTGTAAATTATGACAGCAAAATGATACTTCCAAGCTTCGTTTTCTCTTTCGGCTAGAAAAATCTTCAATCTTGACCCAATGTTCTTGTTAACTGCCATTTTATAGTCTTCTTCCAAAAAAAGTTAATAATTTTAGTTATAATTTTCGTGGCCGTAGGGACCAAAGGCTTTTCTTTGGGACGTTCCGCCCCCATATTAAAGCTTTTTCAACCCTAGGAACCATTAAACATGTTAATTTTTCAAAGAAGCTTCCACAGGCTACTGTAATGCTTTTTACAAACCTTCTGCATTCCTCCTGCATCGGTTTTAGCTTAGTCGAAATTGCTGACGTTTCGCCAATCATCAGTGAAGCTCTGAAGAAGCCAACAGGATGATTGGCGAAACCTCAGCAATATAGACTAAGCAAAAACCGACGCATGAGGAATCCAGAAGTTTTATAAAAAGCATTAAATATGTTATTTTAAAGAAATGGTAGGCTAAAAATATTCGAAACTGAATTCTTCTCACACAGTA